CCCCAAAACCCCCAAAACCCCAAAACCCCTTAGCTGAAATAGAAGTGAAAAAGCTATAGAGAGTTGTTATTAGCATTAAAGATTAAAAGTGATTAAAATGTTCTGAGTTTCGTGATTTTGGATTTCTTACTTCATAATTATGATTCACCTTTACCTTGATCAGTATTATCTTCATTCTAGGTGCATTCATTATAGTTCCTCTTCGGTTCATGATCTATCCTTCGTGGGAGTGACTTTGGAGAACACAATCTCAACTACCTAGCTGAAGACCATTCTTCTAAGCTCTATGGGCATGAGATACCTTGATAGGTCTTTTTCAAAAAGTTAGCAAAAGACCTCTTGGGACAATCTATCTTAGTCATTACCGAATACATCCTTTAAAAACACATCGTACACTTCTTTGTATATGTCTTCGAGTTCATCTATTATCCAGCTAGTCTTGTCTTCACCACCATCCATGTGAGAATAGATGTCAATCATTAGGACGTAGGAGATTTCGAGCATTTTTTCAAAGTACTCAGGGATTAGAACCTCACTCTTCAAGATATCAGTGGTCTTATTTGGTTAATCTCTTGAATCTAGGTCTTCTGGCTGCAGTATTTTATAGAAAGCCTCAGCTTTCATCTTAGGAGTGGAGGCGCATATCAGAATACCTAATAGTCTTAGATAAGGAAGGTAAATGGTGTTTTTCGTGTTGCTAAGCACTTTGTGAGTAAGTATCTTACGACTAAAGGTAGTTTCATCTATAATATCATCCAAAAATTGATTGCTCTTAAAGCACTCTACCACTTGAGGAATAGTCATCTTATTAGTCTTTTCCTTGATGTAAAAGTCAGTTAGTCTTTATTCGAAATCATCTAGAGCTACACTGACTAAGGCAATATTGTTCTCCATTTGAGTAATCTTTTGGGTTTCGCTATCATCTTGATTATTGTTGAATTTATATCCCTTAAGCTTAAGTCTGGCATAACTGTACTTCTTTTTAGCTGACTTTGAGACTCTGCCATAGAGTTCCTTCCCTTTTTGACTCTTATCATAGAACTGCTCTCGAGCTCCAGAGCATTCGCAATTATTTCCCATATTTTATATCTTAAATGTAATTATATTTTAAATAGCACCTGTTATACAATTTTCATAAATTCAAGAAATTGTATTGTATGGGGTTTTGGGGTTTTGGGGTTTTGGGG